AGAATATTGACCCTTTTACCGCTCTGTTACTCTTTTCCGTCGCCTGTAAAGGGAGCGCCTGCCTTTCTTTTTTAAAACTACTCCTCCTTTTTCTTAGAGGAAAAGCCTTGGCATACACGATCCCCGATTAATCTGTTCTAGCATAAGTTTGGGCTGTGTTTCTTAGTAACTTCCCGCTTATACGCTAGGATTGGGTTTTCTTGGTCCCACTTTATGTTTTTTTTATTGAAGTTAATTTGGTGAATGCTCCCTCGTGACTATCCATTTTGTCGGTCTGGGGCTCCACGCATACATTCGAACCTCAATTATGTTGTATCTGGTAATTTTTTTTTTGATAGGTACATTTCTTATCAATCATCATTTTTATGAAGAGAGGGCTAGTGTAATCCGTCTAGTAGGCTCTATTATTTGCTGGTTTAAAAAATTTAATTTTGTGCAGAGATTTAAAAGCTCGTGTGAGTGTGATTTTTTTTCAAGCTGCTCCTGGTGTTATTACTGCAACAATATTTTGCTATATTCCTCCAATTTTGGGGCCTTAAGTTGAAATCCCCGGACAAGATATTGGGGGCAGACTGAAGATTTTCCAGACATGGGGCAATTTTTTTAAAAGCTGTTCCTGAATTTCGGGGTGTTGCATCCGGAGGCTTTTAGACTATCACAATACTAGTTTTGGGCTCGACCTTTACTGCTAAAACCCACTACGTCATTTTGGGGATTAAGCATTCTGGCAAAAAGTGACTCTGCATTACAGGCCAACCCCCCCCTTTTGCCTGTTCACTCTGTCACACTGTATAGGTTTTAAAACCCGGGTCCAATTTCGTTTTTTTCCAAGTGATCCCTTTTTGTGGGGCCCCATGAAAGCGCGAACATTGCCTTTCCTCTGCAACATCCACGGATGAAAGGTATTTTTTTTTTGTTTTCTGGGTTTTGACCCTGTAATTTTTTCAAAGAAAAATGTTTTTCGGACTGGGGGTATTTTGGGACTGGGGGGGGGTTTTTTTTTCCGGCATTTTATCTGTACGTTGGTTTTGAGTGGAGGCCATCGACTGTGGTTCCCCCCCAGGGAAGACTGATTTGGGTACGATTTCTGCATTTCCTGCCAGTTTTTTTTCCTTCCTGGCACTAAAAAAACCCCTCCCTCTTTATGGCTGGGCTACCCAGGTTTCCCAGGGGTGGGTGTTTTTTTACTTTTTGGGCCCCTTTAATGGTATGCCTGGCAATTTAAGTTATAGCCAACTTTTCCGTACTGAAGAGGTACACATTTTAGGGGGGAAAAAGCTTACAGGAAGGGGGTTTGCATTTCCCGTTTCATATGGGCATGACATTTTCTAGGGTGGTCAAGTTGCATGTCCCACTGTTTTTTCCAATTTCCCATGCCACAATACCAAGTGCATAGTATGTGCACGGCTTGGTTTTCCTTTGCCTTGGGGTTTTTGTCTGTATTCCCCGTTGGTGCATGTTTCCCCCGTCTTACTCCTTCCTCCCTAGCACCAACAATGGAGCTCCCCCCCGTTTTTTTGGGAATTTTCCTCACATTCTATTGGGGTCCTCTTTTTTTTTTTTTTTTTTTTTTTTTTTTTGGGGGTTTATTTTTTTTTTTTTTTTTCCCCCTATTTCCCCTTTCTATGGGGTTTTTTAAAAATCCTTTTCCTGCAATTTTCCCGCTCCTGGCAAAAATCCCCCCAGCTTCACCATTATTCTCCCAGACAGTATTCCACTTTTACCATTTCTGTCTCCCAGGACAAACACCTCCGCTTCACCATTTCTTCCCCCCCAGGACAGGGACATAGCCCCACATTTACTGACTACCAGGACATCACCTCCGCCTTAAGTTTGTGATACAGGCCAGTACCATTCCCCAACTTTTTATGTTCCCATCTGTTGTAAAAGCTTCCAGGGTTTTTTATAAAGCACTTTATGTTATCCTCTTTTTAAAACCCTTGTGATTTTTGTCCACAGATTTCCTCATTTTTGGGGATACCCAAAAACACTTTTTCCCGTTTTAAACTGCTTGGCTGTTCTGGGATACGCACAAGGAGCTGACACCAATTTCCACAAAATGACAAATCCATGTGGAAGCCCCTTTGTTTGACCACAGACACACCAGCTTCATAAAAGATTTGAATGGTTGATTTATGCAATTCACTAGAAAACCCTTTAATATTATATTAATAAAACCCTTTAAAAGAAGCCAGCTATTTGGGGATTTCTGTTTCTAACTCTATTTTTATATTGGACAGCTTACCGTCACGTTCCTGATTTTTAATGTTTGTGTTTATAAGGGCGCCTACAAACCCATCCGTTTACAGTCTGCTTTATTGTCCAACGAAACTGTTTGAAACCAGTCCCGGGTTCGGACCAGTCAAGGGTTTGGACCAGTCAAGGGTTCGGACCAGTCAAGGGTTCGGACCAGTCGATCTGCTCTGATCAGTGGGTCACTTATTTAAAACATACTGGTCGGTGATTTGAGCTAACACATGAAGGATCTACTGGAAATTATCTACCCGAGTATATATGTGATTTGACTGATACAAAAGTATAACTTGCGTGTTGAAGAGCCGGTGATATCTGGCAGCTCCTACAATGACGTACAGTCGACCTCTTTGTTTATCAATCGCTGTATCTGGCTTTTCTATTTTTGTTTTTTCCGTCTCCACCACAATAAATGCTATATTATCACTATAGTTGACTGGTGCAAATTTTGGAGGAAGGACGCTTTTTCTGTAGTAATAATTGCTTCTCGTTGTGTATATTGCGACCGCTGGTAACTACAGGTTATATGAAATTCACAGTAACGTCTCGTATTTCAAGAAAAAGAAACTAATGAAAGTCACTCCACTCCACTAAGTACCATTATAATACTGGTTAGTTGCTACTACAACACTGTATTCTGCTATTCACTGGTATCACTAGATTATATGCGCTAAGTGGCTAAGTGGCTAAGTGGCTAAGTGACTAAATACTAGTTTGTGAGTTTAGCAATGTGAATGCTTTTGTTTTGGCACAGTACATAGTTTCAGTATTGGAGTATCACAGGATTCATTATTTTAAGATTGAGATTAATATTTCTGTTTATGGTCAAATGAGTGAGTGAGTGTAAGTGTGAACCACCAGGTGGTATTCGTGTAGTTAGTTGATGGGGTGTATCAGGGAGATAAGATGTTTTCTAATGGTAGTTTTGAAGGTGATGAATGTGTCTGCAGTTCTAGAGTTCTCAGGTAGGGTATTCCAGATTTTAGGGCCTTTGACATACATTGAATTTTTGTAAAGGTTTAGTCGGACACGGGGAATGTCGTAGAGATGTTTGTGTCTGGTGTTATGCCTGTGGGTTCTGTCACAACTATCAAGAAAGCATTTTAGGTCAAGGTTGATATTAGAGTTTAAGGCCCTGTAGATGTAGATTGCACAGTAGTAAGTGTGGATGTACTGAACTGGGAGTAAGTTTAGGTCTATTAAGAGTGGGGGGGGGTGTTGCCAGGGATGGGATTTAGTGATTATTCTTACTGCAGCTTTTTGTTGGGTTATTATTGGCTTTAGGTGTGTTGCTGCAGTTGATCCCCAAGCACAAATAGCATAGGTGAGGTATGAATAAATAAGTGAGTGGTATAGTGTGAGAAGGGCATTTTGCGGCATGTAGTATCGTATCTTGGAGAGGATCCCAACCGTTTTGGATACTTTTTTGGTTATATGCTGGATATGGGTGCTGAAATTCAGGTTGTTGTCAAGGTATAAGCCTAGGAATTTGCCCCCATTATTTCTGGTAATTAGAGTGTTGTCAATCTTAATGTTAATTTGTGCATCTCCTGCTCTGCTACCAAACATAATATAGTAGGTTTTGTCAGTGTTAAGCGTAAGTTTATTGGCTGTCATCCAAGTCGATATTTTAATCAGCTCCTCATTCACAATGGTGTTGAGGTTGGCAAGATTAGGGTGAGAGATGACATAAGTCGTGTCATCAACAAAGAGAATGGGTTTCAGGTGTTGGGATACGTTTGGAAGGTCATTGATGTATATGAGGAAGAGCAGGGGACCAAGGACACTTCCCTGCGGAACTCCAGTATCAAGTGGCCGTGTTGCTGATGCTGTGTCTTTAATGGTGACGTACTGATACCTATTAGTAATGTAAGATTTGAAATAAGCAAGCGCATGGCCTCTTATACCGTAATGATCAAGTTTGTGGAGTAGGATGTCGTGGTCTACTGTGTCAAAAGCTTTTCTTAGGTCAATAAAAATTCCTAGTGGATATTCCTTATTTTCCAATGCTGTGTAAAGCAGATCTAGCATTTTTATGATTGCATCATTAGTGCTTTTATTTTTCCTGAATCCAAATTGGCAGGGGTTGAGTATGTTTTGAGCCGTTATAAATGAATACAGTCTCCTGTGCACGAGTTTCTCAAAGATTTTGGATAGCAATGGTAAGTTAGATATTGGCCTATAGTTGTTTAAGTCTGTAGGGTCACCACCTTTATGTATTGGTGTAACCCTTGCCATCTTGAGTAGTTTCGGGAAGGTGCTAGTCTCTAGTGACTTGTTAAAAAGTAATGAAATAGCATGCGAAAGGACATGGGCCGCTCGCTTGTACAGTAATGGTGGGACATGAGACAGATTCCCCGAGTTGCACTGACTCGCCTTCGAGTCGGGCACTCGCGACTGGCGGCTCATCTATATCGCCTTCGGATGACGAACTCTCCGTGCTGCCCGTGGTGTCCCTCACAGCCTGAGACGGTGGAACAGTTCCTGCCGTGGTGCCCACGTTATCACTCTGCACGGACTACTCTCCGTGCGGCCTTGCGCACACTTGGGGTGCACACTTTCACTCTACCTGTCCTCCTCAACGGGGAGGGTTTCGCCCTCTGGACCGTCAGGAGATATTGGCTTGTACCTACTCCTTCCTGCTGGCTTCAGGGCGTATCAGAGACATATACATAGTTATTAGTCAAGACATTCTTTCACTTTGGTCGATATTCCCTCTCTCTAGCACTGGACGGCCGGGCTCGATACGGCGTATGCTGTCAGTGGCCCTGAAACCCAACAGAAGAAGAAATGATGGTGTTGTGGTTGAGGTGTGTTTCACGGCGCTTCTCACACTCTCTCTACACCACCATGAAGTCCTCATCATCCTCCTCTTCCTCTGACTCTCATATTCCCACCAAAATACCAAAAATAAGCGAAAGATTAGTATGGGTTGATCTTGAGGTATGTAAGATTATGTAGTGATGCAGGTTAAGTGTGTTACAATGTAGTTTTTAATATTGTCTCCAGCGTGGCTGGTTGATTGTGCAACTGCAGCTCAACCTGTGAGCGGTAGTGATGAAAACAATATTATAAAGGTCACAATGGGCCTTTTTCAGACCCCATTGAGTGCGCTTACACATTGAGGTCCGTGGTTCGATCTCCGGTACGGGTGAAAACATTAGGACGTGTTTCCTTAAGACACCTGCTGTCCCTCAATGTCCCCTCAGGGAAGGTTCCTTGATGTTGGTGAGGGGCTCTTGATTTAGGGAATTGGATCAGTGCTCCAGTTCCCCGAATTCAGCCTGAATGCCTTCCACATCCCCCCCCAGGCGCTATATAATCCTCCGGGTTTAGCGCTTCCCCCTTGATTATAATAATAATAATGTCCCTCAATGGAAGTAAGTTACTCTGTTTTTTTTGGGGGGCTATCCTAGGTACTTTACATATATACTGCTATTTATGATAATCTGTGTAGCTGTATTTGTGTATACCTCAATAAACTTACTAGCAGTATAATGGGTACCTGGGTACTCACCTAATTGTGGGTGTTAGTGGACTGGTGTGGGTCGCATCCTGGGACAAAACTGACTTAATTTGCCCGAAATGCTCAGCATAACAAGGGATTTTCTATATAGTAGTATGTCATTGATGTCAGCTATGTCTGTATACTACCCTGTACATGTACTTGTAGAAATAAAGATATTATTATTACTAGAAAAAAATATTAGTCATTTCATATTTTGCAATTACTTCATATAGTTGTGCATAGGGCAATAATAATGTAATATAGTAATATCTTTATTTACTACAAGTACATGTACAAGGTAGTATACAGACATAGCTGACATCAATGACATACTACTATATAGAAAGCCGCTTGTTATGCTGAGCATTTCGGGCAAATTAAGTCAGTTTTGCCCCAGGATGCGACCCACACCAGTCGACTAACACCCAGGTACCCATTTTACTGTGAAAGTAAAGACACATGTGCAACATCTGGAAATCTTTAATGTCGACGTTTCGCCATCCAGTGGCTTTATCAATACAAATTCTAGGACATAATTGGAAGACTGTAGAAATATATACAAAAGATGAGGTAATCAGTCCCTCAGCCTTGGAGTTAGTGTCCACGATGCTGTGAACACTAACTCCAAGGCTGAGGGACTGATTACCTCATCTTTTGTATATATTTCTACAGTCTTCCAATTATGTCCTAGAATTTGTATTGATAAAGCCACTGGTGGCGAAACGTCAACATTAAAGATTTCCAGATGTTGCACATGTGCTTTACTTATATAGTTGTATTTATACCTTTTTGGGAAACACCATTTTACTGATGGGCGAACATAGACAACAGGTGTAAAGAAACACGCCCAATGTTTTCACCTGGCTGGGAATCGAATCCAGACTCTCGTCATGTGAAGTGAGAACTATAGCCACCAACCCAAAAATTTAAATCAAAACAATGAGCTTTTTTTTTCCCATAACCTGTAAGGTTTGTTTGGCGTAGTTCTATGTGACGGCCACAGAAAGGGTTAAAACAGTCTCTCCTCACTTAGTAACGTACTCGTTTACCGGCAATTCAGACTTATGATGGGCTCTCTGACCAGTGTGCTTACCTAAATAATGTATGTATATTAGAGTTGATTTCTTCTATTCTGTTTATTACAGTATACAGTACACTATTATATAAACATTTAAAAATATACAAAAATTTTTATAAATGGTGCAAAGGTGACATTAAAACAATATCGAAGATGGTTGCTCATTGGTAGAGGGATTAGTACCAAACATCAACATCAAAAATCACTCCCTACGAAAGCAAAAGACTTGACAGGAGATGCAACATTCCCCAATGAAAAGCAGGAGCACCATGAGTATGCTAAGAGACAAAATAAGTGTCAGGGGCCCAAGACGGCCTCCCAGCATACATAAGGAGGATTGTAATAAAGTTGGTAGAATTACCGACAATATGTAAAGTAAAAGGACACAAGTGCAACTAATGTGACATTTTATTGTGGCAACGTTTCACTCTCCAGGAGCTTTATCAAGCCATTACAAACAATACATGGACACAGAGGGTATATATAGGCTCAGAGTGAGGTGCGATACTAGTGGTAGTGGTAGTAGTGATAAAAGTTGTAGTAGTAGTAGTAGTAATACAATATGGTAGAACAATTAATTTGTACATGAGTAAAAGGATATAAAAGCTATTACTGAGTTACATTTTCCTTCCTTTTTCATCAAATACTGCAAGAAAAGGGCTCTTCAGATCATCAATTCTCCACGCACCAACACCACTCCCAACAAAGTTATAATTCTTCCCAACAGTCAGGTTGCACTGAACGTTTCTAAAGTACTTTCACAAGCTAACACCAGAATCGCCATCGCTTCTAGCACTTCAATAAAGGATCTAACCAGAACAAAATCAAAGCACCAAGAACCAGTCAATGCAGGAGTTTACACTATACCCTGTGGAGGCTGTGACAAGATTTACGTAGGTGAAACAGCAAGAAACCTCGACACCCGCCTCAATGAACACATTTACGCATGTAGGAACGACAACCTGAACAACGCCTGTGTACAACACCGAAATTCCACCAGTCATCTCATGAAATTCAGGGACGCCCAATTAGTGATCAAAGAAACTAATTTCCGCAGACGCAAGTGCCTAGAATCAGCACTGATCACTGTTTCGAATACAATTAAACAAAACAACGGCAGCTTCACCATCTCTGAAGTCTTAGCAAGAATCCTCCTGAAAACAGTAAACCCTGCCATCACACAGTCTCTCCTGTTATACTACACAAAGCACATTACAGAGGGTGAACACTGAAACAGGCTGCCTCTATCCAGTCTATATTTGTCCAACCTATTTTTATGTTACCCCAAGTAATAGTTTTTTTATCCTTTTACTCTGTAGAATTAATTGTTCTACCATATTGTATTACTACTACTACTACTACAACTTTTATCACTACTATTACTACCACTACCACTAGTATCGCACCTCACTCTGAGCCTATATATACCCTCTGTGTCCATGTATTGTTTGTAATGGCTTGATAAAGCTCCTGGAGAGCGAAACGTTGCCACAATAAAATGTCACATTAGTAGCACTTGTGTCCTTTTACTTTACATAAGGAGGATTACCAATAGACCCCTGACTGTCTTCAAGAAGGCTCTGGACAGGCACCTAAAGTCAGTACCTGATCAGCTGGGCTGTGGTTTGTACGTTGGTTTACATGCAGCCAGCAGTAACAGCCTGGTTGATCAGACCCTGATCTACCATGACCCCTCAAGGGAGGTTCCTTGATGCTGGTGAGGGGCTCTTGATCTAGGGAACGGGATCTGTGTTCTAGTTCCCTGAATTAAGCCTGAATTCCTTCCATCCCCCCCCTCCCCCACAGGCACTGTATAATCCTACGGGTTTAGTGCTGTCCCTCCCGCGGCCTGGTCTTAGACTGGGCCGTGGGGGCATTTACTCCCGAAACTCTCTCCAGGTTTACTGGCGTGGTCTTAGGAATGGAACTCCGTTGTTAAGTGAGGAGAGGCTGTACTCTATAGAAGTGTCATAAAATCCTCTGTGTTTGCTTGTTTTCTTGAAGTTTTAGCAGATTTAGATTTTGATTACCATATTTTGTATTTAGATACAATACGGTGTATGTTTAATTTGACTTAGCTTTAGCACACTAGTTACTAGATGCATTATCATGGCTGAATCAGTTCACAAGAAGCTGACAAATTAGAAATGACAATTTTATGATTGCCCTAGACCTTATTAAAGTTGGAGATTGAGACACTTATGCAACACATGAGAATCTTTATTGAAGAAACATTTTGCCACACAGTGGCTTCATCAGTCCAATACAAAGCAGAAAGGTGTAAGTAGTGGAGGAGTTTGAGGTAATCAATCCCTTAGCCTGGAATCGATGTGTTCAGTCCATCACTCTTGTAGAAAGTACAGCATAAGGCCAGAGAAGTGGCTTATAGTATACTGTAGTCAGATGAGTCGAAGCAGGAGAAGGCGGGATCACAGTGGAACCATCCACTAATGTAAGTAGGTCTTCGTCCAAAGGTTGGACAAGTGTTGAAGGATTCTTTGTATCAAGATCCCATGACTACAGTATATTAGCCACTTCTCTGGCCTTGTGCTGTACTTTCTACAAGAGTGATGGACTGAACACATCAATTCCAGGCTGAGGGACTGATTACCTCAATCTCCTCCACTACTTACACCTTTGTGCTTTGTATTGGACTGATAAAACCCACTGTGTGCAAAACATTTCTTCAATAAAGATTCCCACATGTTGCATAAGTGTCTCAATCTTCAACTTGTCGGTTTTTCAAAACTATTTATCACTTATTACAGTTGCAAGAACAAAAGAAGAGACAGAAAGGTATCCAGTAGCTTGGAACAGTTTCTTGGGTGTTGTTTCATGTCATATTTACAATACTACTATTTTAATGTGATTTTTGGCTCTCTTCCTTTTTCATTCTTTCTTGTGACCTGATAATGAGCAAAGGCAAATCCAACTAAGTCCAATTTTAGTGTCCTGTTTGTGGGTTTATGAATAAATAATGAATTGTTTACAAAGTATTTGAATGGTGTATTATCTTATAGATGACTGGATTAAATGTAGAAGAAGAAAAGATAATGGAAGCAGCCATTATGATCACTGATGGTGACTTGAACGTTGTTGCAGAGGGCCCAAACCTAATATTAAAAGTAGACGACAGAGTATTGGACAACATGAATGAATGGTGCAAGAAGCATCATGGTGAGGTAGAGTACTTCATATGTACACTTAACACTATTCTTATTCTTTCTTGTTTGTTTTTAATCTTGCTCTATCAATACTAGTGAGGTAGGAATATAGTAAGGGTCTCAAAAATGATGTACAGTGGACCCTCGAATTTCATCATCCCTTTTCTGTATGTAAAACTATAGTTATTCTATATAAAATATATTTTTTGTTAATATTTCCCATAAGAAATAATGTAAATCCAATTAATCTATTCCAGACACCCAGAATTTTATATTAACAAAAAATACATTTTATAGAGAATAACTATAGTTTTACATACAGAAAAGGGATGGTGAAATTCGAGGGTCCACTGCATTTAACTGTATTAAATTTAATAAAAGTTATTTCAATTATACATCATATGAAACATTCTATGGTACAGACTGCATCCTTATTTTATTTTCTGCAAAGTGTGCAAATATTTTGAGAAGTGGTAACCCTTCAAGGATGAACCTTAACCCTTTCAGGGTTGGTGTCGTACTAGTATGGCTTGCACGCCGGGGTTGGTGCCATACTCGTACACGTAAATTCTAGTGCCTTCAAATTTAACGAGAGAAAGCTGGTAAGCCTACATATGAAAGAATGGGTCTATGTGGTCAGTGTGCACAGTATAAAAAAATTCTGCAGCACACAGTGCATAATGAGAAAAAAAACTCCGTGTTTTTGGTTTAAAACAGCGACTTTGCAGTGTATTTTCGTATGGTATTTATGGTTGTATTCTAGTTTTCCTGATCTCATTTTATAGAATGAAAGACATTACAGAAATTGAGATGGTTTTGATTGGTTTCACAATGAAAAGTACCTTGAAATTGAGCTCAAAGTAGCAGAAATGTTCGATTTTTGCCAAGTTTCAGAAGTAAACAAATAATGCCACACGTCCAATACACGTCAACTGGTGAGTCTAATATTCTTTCACAAGTGCGCTGATATTATCTATACCATTTCTACACTAATGCAGTAGTCTGCATAATAGTAAATCTTCTATTTTTTTTTTGAGAATAAAAATTCAAAGTGGAAAGCAAAAGAAATGTAAGAGGGGCCTGGGTACATGACTAATGAACAGAGAAAATGTTATTTTAGTGCCAAGAATGTCTGTCTTGTTTATTCTGGACCCTATTTGGAAATTGGCATGTTTTGAAATTGTGTGAAAATTGCCAACTTTTAACCACTTTATTGGATAGTTGAAATCAGTAAATGGGTGGTTTCTTGTATTCATTCGATAGAAAAAATGGAGTTCTAGTGAAATAGTTATGATTGTTTGTCGATTGGTACTTTGGGAATTGGCTGAAAATATGGCTCAAAGTGGGTGAAATCGCCGATGCATAAACATCGACAAGACCGCTAACTTCGCGAGAACATAATTCCGTAAGTTTTCCTTCAAATTTCAAACTTTTTTTCTCTTTCATTTCATAAGAAAAAATAATTTTTTATTTTTCGAAAAAGTTTTGACCCTGAGAACAAATTTGGAAGGGCTAAAGCGGAGGCTGGGTCCAAGGAAATTGGAGTTTCCTACCCCTCCTTGGTCATACCGACTACCATTCTCCTGGGGCTATATGACCCCTTTTGGGGGTTTTTCCTTCCCCCTAAAAAAATAATTGAAAGTCTGGAGACTTTTTTTGCATAATATTTTTAGAACGCATTCTTTTATTGTAACGGTACACACTTCAAATTTTGATGAATTTTACAGTTTAATTTTTTTTTGTGTGAAAATTTCCAGCTGTAAAGATTTTTTTTGAGGATATGAGGGCCAGGTTGGAAGTTAGGAGAAAGGAGATTACTTTCCGTAAAAGTAGGTCTTAGACAGGGGCGTTTGGTAATGTCACCATGTGGTTTTTCATATTTTTAGTGAGGTTGCAAAAGAATAAAAGCAGGGTGTTTAGGAGAGGGGGGGGTTAAATTTTTTTGGGGGAAACAAAACAAAAGGGAGTTACACAGGAAATTTTCTGGAATTGTGCTTTTGGGGAATTCTAAAGAAGTTTTCAAAGGTTAGTGGGAAAAGCTTGGGGGGGTTGGGAAAAGGGAAAGGGGTTAAAGTGAACAAAGGAATATAAGGGATCAAGTTAGGAAAAAAAAATGGATCCACAATGAGGGATTGGGAATAATTTTCTAAGAGGACTTTAAAAAGAGAGGTTTAGAAATGGAAAAACCATAAAATTTAAAAAGGAAAAAGGTGGGGGTTTTATTAGGTCGTGGAGAAATGTTACATGGGGCAAAGAAAGGAAGTTGGAAAATATATTGGTACCAAACCCTGGGTTTTTAAATACATGGGTTTAAAATGCGCAGTGAGAGGAGGCTGGAAGCAGTGGAGATGTCGTGTCTTTAAGGGCAATGTGTGATGTAAATTATACAGAGAATTCATAGTGTGGAAATTAGGAGGTATGGAGTTACTAAAAAATATTTCACAGGGCTGAGGAGGGGTTGTTTTAAAGGTGGTTTGGGCATTAGAGAGATAGAGCAAAATAGGATGATTTGGGTTGTGTATAAATCTGTAGTGGATGGGAGGAGGGGTAGGGGTCATCCTAGGGAAAGGATGAAGGGGGGAGGGGCTTAGACATACAGCAGTCCACATGTTAGCGTGTTGATAAGGTGAAAGGAGACGAATGGTTGTTGGGATTGATGACTGTTTTGGAGTGTGAGCGGGTAAAGTTTTTTGAAGGGGTTCAGGAACCCCCATTAGCCCCGGGCTTTGGGCTTGGGGGGGGGGAAGAATCCCCGCACTTTTAAAATGATGTTTTGGGGTATTTGCGTTTGGAGTGCACTGAGCTGTCTTTCTGCATGTTCTGCAAAGACAGTGCTTATGTTGAATGATGGTGAAGTGTTGAATGGTGGTGAAAAATTTTCTTTCTTGGGCCCCCTTTTCGGGGAGAGGCCGGGGATTTAATAAAAAAAAATAATTTAAAAAGTAAGCATATTGTAAGGGAAGTGACTACAATACATGTACAGTGTTTTTTTTGCTTTTTCTTTATGATTTTCAACCTTTTTAAAAGTTCTAAAATAAATTTTCAATTGACACAGAAACCATTGCATTTAAGTTTGCTTCTGTGAGGTGTTTTATTTTAATCTTAGATTAGAAAGAAAAATTACCAGCACGGGATGGCTGATTTTTTAAGTTTGATTGTTAATCATTGTTTTTTTTCTGTTACCATAATTAAATAGCAACAAAAAATTTAATCCAACAAAACTTTTAAATAAATTAAACAGGGTTTTTAGGCCAAAATTATAATAAAATTTGTTGCTGTTTCTGGCCAACAGAAGGGGTTTTAACAGATGAACCCGGAAAAGGCCCCATCCCCCTCTTGACGAGGACCACTCTTCATTTTTGTCACACAGCACACCGAGAAGGGGTAATTTTTCCCCCTTTAAAGGGGTTGGAGGTTGTGTGACCCAAAAGTGTACACCAATGGAATCAGGCCAGGTCCCAGTCTTATTTTCATGTGGAGGATTTTTGATGAAGGAGGATAATCTTGGAGCAGACTGTGTGTCCTTAGAAGAAAGGTTAGACCTTGAAGGGAAGGGGAGGAGGCATGGGAATGTCTGGAATTTAGGAATCCATTCTCTCTTCTCAACTCCAAGGGTACTTATTCTTGTGAAAAAGGGTTGGTTCATGAAGGAAGATATCTGTCCTTTAAGGAAGGAAAAGACCAATCCCGGTTCCCTGACCTAACTTCCCTCTGCCACTAAATATGGCCGACCGAGAAGACTGGTTCAGGGGGTCTCAATGAGGGGCTGGCTGGGCCCCCATACCAGCCGGTGAGATGATAGTCAAAACCCGCAATTCCCAGAGGGCAAGGACTGAGAAGAACTCCTGTAAATGGCTTTCAATTTAAGTGGGGAAAAGAAAGGGGTGGTGCCATGACTTTTAGGTCTTCTTGATTTCCCCAAACTATCAGTGTTTGACATTTTTATAATGAACCTCTTCTCTGGAGAAACCACCTTGTATTTTCCTAACCTAATTTCTTCTTAATTATTCTCTTAAAATATCTTGTAGTTAATTGTCTGTGTTGTCAACAGGCAAGGCTCCTTTGGCTGGCAACACGATACATTCAGATAAAAAGTTCTTGGATAAGTACATGCCTAAACTGATGAATCACCTCCACTACCGCCTTGTTGACGTCTCCACTGTCAAGGAGTTGTGTAGGTGAGCCTCTCTTAAATCTGCCTTGTTTAACCCTTAAACTGTGTTTGATGTGCATTGTACTTCTAATACCAGGATGTGTATGACATATGCTGTACCCAGTTTTTCCTGCCTTCATATTTGTTGATTACCACGACTTTAGGTGGTCATTTGTTTAGGTTGTCTGGCACCTCAGGCCAGAGAAAAAAATTCCTGCTAATGCGTCAGCACAGGAGACAGAGTAAAATTGCCCCAGGATTTTGTTCTCACAGTGGCTGGCTGGAAAGTTCTGATTCATGTGACAGTGACACCAACAGCAACCCTGACACCACCCTACCAACACCACATGTGACACCTACAGCTACCCTGCCAACACCACATATGACACCAGTTACCCTGCCAACAACACTACATGTGACACCACCAGCTACCCTGCCAACAACCCTACATGTGACACCACCAGCTTCCCTGCCAACACCACCACATGTGACACCAGCTACCCTGCCAACAACCCTACATGTGACACCAGCTACCCTGCCAACAACCCTACATGTGACACTACCAGTTACCCTACCGACACCATGTGTCACCACCAGCAGCCCTGACATACCAGTTGCACTATCAATAAAGTTACATGATATTTCTGTGTAACATGCCACTGTGCCTGTCTCCATGTTGCAAAGAATATCACAACTTGAAACAGCAATAATGTCATAATAGTTCCCAGTGCATAGTGTTGCAAGACAAAATCATTCATTAGAATTAAGACAAAACATTTATTGATAGAAATTTAGAGTGAATTTTGAAATTGTGGCTGTTATGACGTGCTTCTCCACCTGTTTCTAATATTTAAACAGCTTGAAACACGTCTATTTTTGTATTAAGATGTTGAAATGCAGTATAATCTTAGTGAAAAAAGATAAATAAATATACATAATTACCTTTTAAGGCAATGCAAAACAAGCCGCTAGAGAATGAGAAACATGAGCTGTAGGCCTTTTACACTTTTGCCAGTGTAAAAGGCCTAGGGAACTATGCACTGGAAATATAAACACATATGCAGTGTAATGTGATCCTTTATTGACTACGTTTTGCCCACACAGTGGGCTTTTTCAAGTTGCAAACAGATCTACCTGGGGTGGAAGGGACGTGAGTATTTATAGTCAGGTTCAGAATGCTGAGGTCAGGTGGAGAATGCTGCATCTGATGATGTACCGAGTGGGGTTATGGAGTCTAAAATCTTGGGTAGCTTGGAAAGGAGATTGGATAAGTTTGTGAGCAGACCTTCTACAGTGTTCTTCCATTCCTGTGTTCTTACGTGGGATAGCGATGAAGAAGTTTCTTGGCAAGTGGTTCAGCTATGTTATAGAAGCCACTATTCTGGCTGAAGTTGTCGGATATAGAAATAAGTGATGATTCCAGGATTCTTCGGTATTGAGTGTTGTCTTCTGTGGCGATAAGTCTTGAGTTTCTGTAGTTTATCAAGTGGTTGTGTGAATTACGGTGTTGTACACAGGCATTCCTTGTGTCGTCAGACCTGCTTGCGTATTGGTGTTCTGAAATACGTATTTGGAGGTCCCTTGATGTTTCACCCACGTATAATTTGTTGCAGTCATTACAAGGGATTATGTATACCCCTGCAGAGGGTGGAAGCTTGTCCTGTCTATCACTGGTAATGTCCTTGATTTGTGATTGGGGAGGTAGATATTGGGAATGAGGTATTGGAAAAGATTTTTGGAAACGGTTGGAATGGAGTTGGTGGGAGGACTTGTATCTCTTCTCGGCAGTGTCTTTCGGGGTGTGTTAAAATTTTTAAAACCCTAGAAAAAAATTTTTTAGTCCCCCCCCCAAACTCCATTCCCCCAAAAACACTTTTCCCAAACCATCTTTTCCAATACCTCATTCCAATTTATCTACCCCCAACAAACCCAACCTTTTCCAAGGACATTACCATGATAGACAGGAAAAAGTTCCCCCCTCTGCGGGGGTATACTTTAATCCCTTGTAATGCTGCAAAAAAATTTTTCCGGGGGGCGAAACATAAAGGGGACCTCCAAACAGATTCGGGAACCCCAATCCCAAAAGCAGGTCTGACGACAAAAAGGAAAATCCCTGTGTACAACACCGTAATTTTTACACAAAACCCCTTGATAAAAATACCCGAAACTCAAGACTTTTCCCACAGAAGACAACCCCTCAATACCGAAGAATCCGGGGAAACATCACTTATTTTTATATCCACAACTTCAACCAGAATAGTGGGTTCTATAACATAGCTTAACCCCTTGCCAAGAAACTCCTTCATTGCTATCCCACATAAGAACACAGGAATGGAAGAACACTGTAGAAGGTCTGCTCACAAACTTATCCAATCTCCTTTCCAAGCTACCCAAGATTTTAGACTCTATAACCCCACTCGGTACATCATCAGATGCAGCATTCTCCACCTGACCTCAGCATTCTGAACCTGACTATAAATACTCGCGTCCCTTCCACCCCAGGTAGATCTGTTTGTGGCTTGAAAAAGCCCACTGTGTGGGCGAAACGTAGTCAATAAAGGATCACATTATACTGCATGTGTGTTTATATTTCCATTGTGTCGGTATTTTATACCATTTATTTCCAACTATGCACTGTTGTCATGGCTCTTCAAGGACTGTGCACTGTTGCAGTGGCTTTTCAAGAACTATACACTATTGCAGTTGCTCTTCATGAACTATGCACTGTTGCAGTGGCCCTTCAAGAACTATGTACTGTTGCAGTAGACAGATTGCAGTGGGAATAAATGTCAGTAAGTTTTGATCCGATTTTCGTGTTTTTGGTCATACAGTGGACCCCCGCTTAACGATCACCTCCCAATGCGACCAATTATGTAAGTGTATTTATGTAAGTGCGTTTGTAAGTGTATGTTTGGGGGTCTGAAATGGACTAATCTACTGCACAATATTCCTTATGGGAACAAATTCGGTCAGTACTGGCACCTGAACATACTTCTGGAATGAAAAAATATCGTTAACCGGGGGTCCACTGTATTCTGCTCGGAAAAATAAACATTTTAAAATGCTAAGAAAAATCAATTTTTAATTTGTTCAAATTCTACCACACCACCAGCAGTTTTTTTTTTTTTTTTTTTTTTCTGTTCGCCACAGTTTAAGGGTGAAAGACCCAAGACACTGATAAGTTTATAGAGTGTAAATCAGGAACTCTTGTATGATGCAGAAGTTTGTCGTGTAATATCATGCATATGTAGGTGTAGTAGGAGCCCTGTATCCACAGGGGATATGTTCCAAGGACCTGCCATGGATACTGAAACTGTGGATAGTAGCAAACACTATACAGTGGAACCTCAAAAATCGAACTTAATCCGTTCCAGGAGCTAGTTCTAAATTTGAAAAGTCTGAAATTCGAAGCAATATTTCCCATAAGAAATAATAGAAATACAATTAATCCATTCCAGAAACCCAAAAATATTCACACAAAAAATACATTTTATAGAGATTAATTACAGTTTTACATACAACAAATACTATAGTTTTTAACCCTTTAACTGTTTCCGACGTATAAATACGTCTTACGAGCCAATGTTTCTGACGTATTTATACGCACAAATTCTAGCGGCTTTCAAATCGAGGCCAAAGGCCTGGTATGGCCTCACACCGCGCGGTGAGAGAATGGGTCTCAGTGGTCGCGTGGCACACTATGGAAAAAAAATCTGGGACACCCCTGCGGTGCATTGTGGGGTACCGCCATGTTGTCTGTCATTTTCCCATGCCTCTCGGTAGGAAGTTCCTCAATCCTCGGCGGCATTGGAGTTCTTTGGTCTCCCACGTGATAGCTCTAACAGCGATCGAAAACTGTCAGTGACAGTGGAATTAAAGGGTTTTCAAGTGAGTGTCTACCGACAAAAAAACGTCCAGATAACGTAATTAGTGCAGAAAACCCTGATGAACCCACAACCTTCGACAATCTGTGCTGTGCCGGCTTGTTCACGTTTCACGTTCGCCTGTATCCAGGAGAAAAGATGACAAACTATTTGGTCGTGTACAACACCCTGATGTTAGCAGTGATAGTGATAGTGATTTAAAGGTCATTGAAAAGCAGTTATAGTGACAGTGAGAGTGAATATTTCCCCAGTGAAGCCGCCAGTAATGTACGAAGTAGTATGCGGTCTGTAGTGTTTCATATGTTGTTCCAGAGGGGAGGAGAAACTCTGGAGCACATCCGTGGCCCAACACCACGACCTGATAGTTAGGTGAAGATGACGATATTGTAACGATGGGTATGAAAATTGCTCGACAGTGAGGGAGGAGCAGTGGTGGTGATAGTGAGGGTGGCTCGGTCCCCATGTCGGGACCATCAACGGGCACGTACTAGCCACGCGGCTGACTCAGCAGAACAACCAGCTTTCACCCTACTCCCACACCTGCCACACCTGCCCACCACCACAACCTGACAACAGCCACAAACCACGGTACATTATCCAAGACCCCACAGACAGGACCGCATCTGGGATTGGTCAGGACGGTGACGAGTTTGTTCCCAGTCCATGACTTTGGATGGAAACACAAAGTGGAATAAAGCCATCTTGGTCAATTAGGGAACAAATGCCAGTGGAACTGGACTGCTTTGAGTTATTTTTCGTGAACCCCTGGATGCGACATCATTGTCAGGTGAAACTCACATACATACTGTGATAACACCGTGGCAAAGATACAATTCTTCTCCCCACCAAAATCACGGCTACACAAGTGATGAAGGTGAAACTCGTGCAGAGATGTACCGTTTTTTGCCACAATAATGCTTTGCCACATGTGTATAAGCACACTGTCACCAATACACTGGACAACAGATCGCCTGATTTCAACTCCAGGTTTTAGTGAACATATAGGTGTACAATCGTTTCCTGTTATGTTATTATGTTCACTTTTTCAGGACAAAACAGGACCCTACTGACAGAAGCTGACAGGTTATTTAAGATAAGAATTGTGTTTATGTACCTGAATCAAAAGTGCTGCATGTATTTTTATCCACTGCAGGAAGCTTGATATTGATGAGTCCTGACTTTTATTCAAGGAAGACTATCATTCAATGCTATAAATACCAGCATGAGGAAACGCTTGGGTATAAAAGCGATTTTTGTCTGTGTGATTGCAGAATGTGGTCTTGTTTTAGATATTCATTGTCGTCACTTGGCAGTATTACTTTGAGAGATACCATGAAGTTATTGGGTATCTTGGTGATGTGGTTCGAACAATGATGGAACCTTATCTTGGTATAAGGGGGCATTATGTTATTTACTGATAAGCTGGTAAACAAGCCCCTTACTCAGTGATTTATTGCGATAAGTGAACTTGACAGACGTGTGTGGCACAGTGCGTGGAATCGCCAAACATATGCCAAGGTTTCGAAGCTGGGGCACTCGCAGAGGGGGAGGCAAGCCTTTGCTGCCGCAATGACATCATGGAATTTCGGTGCATGACAAACGTTGATGTCACATTGTGGACATCATGTTCACACATAAAACGAAATGGTACCAGTGGCGGACAACTGAGAGACCAAGAACCATTCTAAAGCCTGCAGCTCTGTCATGGACTACAACCTCAAATATGCGCTTTAGTAGGGACAATTGTGACATGAGATTGGGTTGCAGAACTGTGTACGCAACGGAGTTATACAGTGGTATATCAAACTTTTTTTCCATACTTGTTGGATTCTCTATGACTAAAATGTCTATCAAATAATACAGTTGAAGACCAACAACAGACACCGAAAAATATGGTGAATTTTGACCTGTCAGTAATCAGACAAATTATTGCAACAGTACCACAGGAGCAGCTCTGCAATAGACCTCAGCGCAAGACGTCATTCTCGTATGAAGCCTGTGATCACTACCCCATACAACTGCCTCCTACTACTGCCAAGGAATAATGCTCAGAGAGGTGTTATGTATGTATGCATACCACAAATACGCCCACAAACACGCAGAGACATCGTTTTAGGTGTGGGGAGTGCTGAAGTGCCTCTCTGCATATACCCATGTTTCAACGAGTTCCACAAGCTGCAGCTGTTCTAGCGAACGTGGTTAGTGACCTGTACATATGTATATATATTATGGAACAAATTGTAAATAAACATTGTTTTGTATGTTTGTTTGTGTAAACAAAGTGTATACACAAACTAATAGTGATAAAGTTTGTTCTGTTATTGTTGTTGTAAATAATGATGTATATTTGAACAATGCACCTTACATTGGTCTCACAGCCACATAAGTTACCTGGAAAAGAAAAATATTGAAAAATGCAAGAAACCTTTGAATTAGAGTAAATAAAAGAATACCGGGTGGGCGGCAGTCGCTGCTGTTGCCGTACGCACGTCAATTTCTGCAAACTTTGCGGCTCTATATCTCGGTAAGTACTGATGGCAAAAATTTTTTTTTTAGACTTAAAACACTAGTAAAAATATTCCTAACATTTTCATAAGAAAAAATAATTTTTTTTTTTTCGAATATTTGGCGACATAGAATGACAGTTTCAGAGAGGGCCCTGAAACAGTCAAAGGGTTAAACCAGCAAATAGTAGAGCCTACAAGACTAGAAAATACGGTGGACCTCATCTTCACTAACAATGACGATATGATATGTAATATAACTGTATCAAAGACAATTTATTCAGATCACAACATAATAGAGGTACAGACATGTATGCACAGGGCTCCGGACCAGCAAAATGTCAGCAGTCATGAAGGTCTCTTCACGAAATTCAATTTCAATACCAAAAATGTACAGTGGGATCAAGTAAACCATGTCCTAAATGAAACAAGCTGGGAAGATATCCTAAACAACACGGATCCGAACATTTGCCTTGAAAAATTTGTTTCTGTGGTTCTTGAGTTCTTCTCAAGATACATTTCATAGATGTAAACTAGAAAGAGAGAGACGTTCCCTATACAGTGGAACTTTAAATTTCAAACTTAATCCATTCCAGGAGCTAGATCTAAATTCGAAAAGTTTGAAAAGCGAAGCAATATTTCCCATAAGAAATAATGGAAATACAATTAATCCGTTCCAGAAACCCAAAAATATTCACAAAAAAATACATTTTATAGATAGTATTACATACACGCAACAAATACATGTATAGTGTACGGTTATTAATAAATTTAAATGAACTTGTAAAATAACATTTTTACTTACCTTTATTGAAGATTGGTGATGGCATCTGGAAGATAGGGAGGAGGAAAGAGGAAGTTGGGGTTAATGTTTGGAAGGGGAATCCCCCTCCATAAGGGCTTTAGGTATCAAAGCTCTCTCTGGGGATACTTCCCTTCTCTGTCTCTTAACCCTTTGAGGGTTGACAGGCCCTCTCCGAAACTCGTTCTCAGGGTCGGCCAAATTTCAAAAAAAAAAAAAAAAATTTTTTCTTATGAAAAAATAGAGTTTTTTTTCTAAACATTATAGGATAAACAAAAAAAATTTACCATCAATACTTACGGAGATATGGATGCATGAAGTTTGCAGAAAATGAGCCGCGTATGGCAACAGCGGCGACTGCCGCTCACCCGGTAAACTTTAGTTTACTTGTATTGAAGGTTTGTTGTTTTTTTCACTATTTTATTTTTTCACATAACTTATGTGGCCTATGAGACCAAAGTAAGGTGCAACGTACATATATACACTCGTTGTATACAACACAATAAGCCACACAAACATAAATTATCAATATATTGTTTACAAAACTTGTTTACAAAAACAAACAATACAAAACATTGTTTATTATTA